CACACACACACACACACACACACACACACACACACACTCACACACACACACACACACACACACACACACACACACATACGCACACACATCTGTATATATGTAATTATATATATATATATATATATATATATATATATATATATATATATATATATATATGCATATATATGTTTATATATATATATATATATATATATATATATATATATATATATATATATATATATATATATATATATATATATTAACACACACACACACAGACAAACACACACACACACAGACAAACACACACACGCACACACAAACATAAACATACATACAGACACACACACACACATACAGACAGAGTAAGAGAGAGAGAGAGAGAGAGAGAGAGAGAGAGAGAGAGAGAGAGAGAGAGAGAGAGAGAGAGAGAGAGAGAGAGAGAGAGAGAGAGAGAGAAAGAAAGAGAGAGAGAGAGAATGGGAAGAAATGAGAAAAAAAAATAAGTGGACAATATATTACAGGCGGCCCTTTTCCATGTGCTTTATACAATGAGCTTCCATGCACCATTCCTATTTATTTCACTGTTTCCCACACCCGTTCTCTAACTCCATTGGTGGCTGAGGAATGGATCGCGTAGGGTACCGGGGGGGGGGGGGGATGAGGGAAGGGAGGGGTCGGGCGTAGAAGCCAATGCAATGCCGTCTTTTAGAGCACATTTATAGCACTTTCGGCCGAAGTAGTCGAAGGGGGTATTTCTCCTTTCCACAGGACTAAGGTCTTTCTTTGTTGTCTCATTTGTTTTATTTTGCGTTGCAGTTAAAAGGGAAAATGCTAATGAAAAATAGAACTAATGCCATATTCGAAGATGCAGCTGAGCTGGTTGGTAACAGTTTTAGCAGATGGAAAAAGGTAATTTTTCTGTGAAGGCTGCGCACATTCTAAGGATCAGGGACTTTTATCAATGACTAGCATTCCAATCACAAAAGGTCAGTCTTTAGGCATTTAAGCAGCTGAGGTGTTGGCCGGTGCTTTATAACTCAGTTTCTTGTTCATCTGTTCAGAGTCAGGTGGCGGGAAACACAGAAAAGGTCAGGCGAGAGAGGTCACAAGACGGTCAGGGGGTCTGACGGTCGAGTCTGAGGCAGGGTCAAGGTCCAGGTCCAGGACGCCCTCTCTCAGGCGGAAGAAAGTTGAGAAGAAGACGATTGGGATTCAGACAGATGAAGTGTTTGAGTTGGAGGTTGAGGAAGAGAGGATGGAGGTCGGGCGGGGCCCCGGGGTGTTGGAGGAGGCGCGGGAAGGCGCCAGGGGCTTGGGGGCCCAAGAGGAGGGGACTTACGGGGTGGGAGGAAGGCGCCAGAAGAAAACGAAAAAGAAGGCCATCACCATCGTCGAGCCCCCGGATGTGTTCGCAAAGAGGGAGGACCCGCCTCCTCCTGCCAGGCAGAGGAAGGAGGAAGTGGAGGCCGGTCCCCGCGAGGCGGCGGCCGAGAGCAAGAAGCCAAAAAAGACGAAGAGCAAGTCCAGCAAAGCCAAAGCCAAAGAGGGAGCGCCTCCGGAGGCCGTTCCAGCTCCAAAGGCTAAAGCTGCGGAGAGGCAGGAACAGAGACCCAGCAGAAGGACTGAGGATATTCCATTAAGTCCAGCTGCTCCCAGGATGGAAAAGAGTGTGAAAGACAAGGGCAGTAAGGTGTCCATGGCCATGCAGACGGAGGATGCTGTGGAGAACATCTTCTCAGACAGATCCATATTCCTGACAGACGACTTGGACACAAGCACCGATTGGCGGGAGGAAAGCTCAGTAGACTGGCAGACAAGTGCAAGTTCTTTGGCATGGCAGACAGACAGAAGTTCCTTTGCATGGCAAACAGATGCAAGTTCAGGTAATAAATATACTGGAGATAATTCTTTTGCACTAGAATCCTGTGAAGAGCCGGAAAATGATCAGGATCTCCTTAACATGGACGTCTTTTTAATTCGAGATCGAAGGAACAAAGACTCCTCAAGACATAACATGAACCAAAATGCTGCTCAAGAAAGTGAGAACGAAACCAATCAAAACGTCCAGTGGGATGGCGGAGGGCCTCGTTCCAGCGATCTGAAAAATTACAAACCACAGGGAAAGGCTGATGCAAAAGAGGTTAAGCACAAAGGGAAAACACGACAATCAGATAAAGAGGAAATAGAGGGGAAACAAAGACTGGGCGAAGAAAAGAACACACGTATAGGCCATACTGAAAAAGAAATAAAAAGAAGAGATGTTCCACAGACAGGCAGTAAGCCTCGCCCACTTCATCCACCAAATGATGATGAGGTAGTGGAGAGTCATGAGGAGTTTAGAAAAGCTGAAAATGATGGGAAACAGGGGCTACAAAGGTGGGATAAGGAAGTAGAAAGAGAAAATCGTAATGAACAAATCGAACATGAAGAAGAGGATGATGAAACGAATCAAGAAATGGACGAAGAGACAAACGCAATGGTGAGACGGCTGCGCTTCCGGCGTCAGATGGCTGAAGAGTTTCTAAACCAGCAGGCAGAGGATCAGGGCAAAGCCAGAGAGCAAGCACCGATAGAACCAGAATCTCGAGGTCACAGCAACCTTGCAGCAACACTTCCTAACAGAAGAAAACAGAAGTTGAGATTTGCAAGAGAAGTCATTACCCCTGAGAAACAGATCTGCTCTCAAGAATCATACGGTACGTGGCCTCAACGGGTTATTGAAAACCAGAGGACAGATGATATAAATCTGAAAGCATTCCCTGCCTTCTTCTCTCCATCTGCAGCAAGTTATGGCCGAAAATCACGCAACCAAGCCCCAGAACACAAAAGAAGTCATTTAGAAATTAATTTGGTGATTAGAGATAAAGAGGAAAATCCAAAGTCAAACATCATCAGATCTTCAACTGTTAAGCCGCAACAGGTGGAGACCTCTGATGAGTATCCCAGAAGTGACCATGACTATGGGGGTTCCCGGCTTAAGAAAATTTCTCCGAAGTCAGACACCTCTAGAACGCCTCAGAGAAAAAAGAAGACAGGAGGGAGAGAGGTGGTAGAGCCAACTGCTTCCAGTAAATTTGGAAATAGTGAGCATGAAGTGCAACCGAGATTACCTCCGAAAAATCAGAGTGAAAGGGGGATAAACCGCCTTACTTATATCCGGGATGAGGAGAAGCAGCAGTGCTATTGCACTGATACAAGTTCAACTGTAACAAACACAGACTCAGTGGGTCGGCGTGTGAGACGCATAAAGAAGAAAGCACTTGCAGTGCAAACAGAAGAAGCTGTTGTTGACTGCCAGTGTGCTCAAGAGGAAACAAAAGTGGAGGTGGAAGGGAAAGGGGATAGAGCAAGGGAAATAACTGCCTTGGGAAGCGGTCCCCCTGTAGCTGAGGGTGAGCACAAGGAGTCAGGTGCCTCCCAGACAGAAGTCACATCACTTCGCAGGAAACGAAGTGTAAAGAGAAGGTCTAGGTGTATTCAGGCAGATCTTTCTCTTGAAGATCAAAGCGAGGCAATGCGTTCTCAAGAAACCAGTCAGTTGCCAAATAACAGTGCGATGTGTACTCCCTCAGTCCCCACTGAAATAGAACAGTTTAAAGGTAATGTGGATAAGGACGAAAATGAACAAAGAAGTGGCACACTTTCCAGCTCCATCCGGAGGATGAAGAAGGTACGGAAAACTGTGGCAACCACTCAAACAGAAGAAAACGCATTGCTTGAGGATGGCCTCTTCATACCACCAACCTTCCAGCCAGATTCGGTCTCCATCCGAACCAGTTCCCTGCGCCGCATCCGAAGGGCCCAGAAGGCTACTGTGGCAGTGCAGACTGATGACGTCATTCCTGTATGTTTTGAGAATCTTCATCTCTCTCTGATGGACTTCAAGGGCGAGCAGCCACTTGCAGATTCGCTTGGGCTTCCTCGGCACTCAGACTCACTCATATACATGAACATCCCTGCAGCCCTCCTTGAGGTGGTGGAATCTGGAAATGATGCAGATGTAAGTGACAGTGAGGAAGGTGATGGTGATGCACGGGATAAGGATAGTGAAGATGAGGATTTCAGGATATATAACAAAGTTGCAGAAGAGGATTTCGACACTGCATCACATGTCATTACTAGACTGTCTCCAGGGGACGTGACGGTGAAAGTATGCAGTAGAAGGAGTAGTTACGCAGAGGCCTACAAGGGCCATGATGAAAATGTTTGTCTCTTGCCCTGTGAGAGCGACGTGAAGGAGGGGGATGAGGCTCCACAAGACAGCGAAGGCGCAGAAGAAGCCGAAGACGCAGAAGAGGAGGTCAGGAGAGATCTTTTCCTGCAAGGTAGAGAAAACCAGAGTAGCAGAAAAATCCATGAATTAGATACAGAAGAAGATAATCTCTGCTCAGAAGCTCACGACAGAGATATAGAAGATTCCGAAAGTCATGTTGATAATGAAGGTGATGACGAAGACGAAGATAATGATGAAACTGCCGATAATGACGAAGATGATGGTGATGATAATGATGATGATGATGATGTTAAGGATGATGATGATGATGATGATGATGAGAGTGACAAAGATGATAACAATAACGAAAATGATAACTATGAGCAAGATGGTGATCATGAAGAATATGAATACGGCCAGGAATATTCTGAAAATGATAGTGCACTGAATGACAGCCACATAGAGGGAGAGCAAGATGACAGAGAAGATGTTGAAGAAGACACAGAACAAGACGAAAAAGGGGAAAACAAAGCCCCGAGACCCATACTTGAGCATGTTGATTCTTGTACCCAAACAGTGGAAGAGGATGACTGGCCAGAGATTGAAGAAGGGAAGCAGGTAAACGGTACAGAAGAAAAGAGAGAAGAACAGAGCCAGGAGGAAGAGAATGAGGACGAAAGTGAGGAAGAGGAGAAACTCGACGATACAGAGGATGCAGAAAATGTAGATATAGAAACAAGGCCGGAAGAATCAGTGGATAAAAGAGAAAACACAAAAGGGGATAAACATGAAAATGAAAAAGAAAGTATAGGTTATAGTGACAGAGAAGATGATAACGAAGGGGATGGGAAGGAAAGAGATGAGAGTATGAAGGAACTTAGCGCTAAAAGTGGAAAGATATACAGCAAGCAATCACTGAAAAGTGAGAATTCTCCAGCATGCAAAAATGGGGAGGAGGACAAAAGTCAGATGGGAAGAGAGGGAGGCAAAAGCAAAACCAAAGAAATTTCAGAAAGCACGAAAAATGAAATTACCTGGAGAGAAAGTCTAGCAAGAGACGAAGAGGAAGAGAAGACAGGAGTGCCCAAAGACGGCTGGATGTGGCAACAGGTGAATGATGAAGAAGTAGAAAGCAATGGGACGACGGAAAGCGAGGTGACGGCGGATGCGGCCCAAGAGATGGAGACAGAGAATCCGAGACGAGAAGGAGAAACCGATAATCAAGAATTAAAAAAGGCGAAGAACCGAAGTGATAATAAGCCTGACATTTTGAAAGAGTTGAATGAGCATAAAGAGAAAAACGAAGAAGTAGTAACGGATGTGGAAATGACGAATAAGACACATGAAGACAAGAAAGAGAAAACAGAGATAGACGAAGGAATTCAAAAGGAAAAGAGGACAAGAGTTAGACAAGGATCAGGCAGGGAAAAGGTAGAGGTAGAACCAAGAAAGAATGATGAAGGGAAAGGAAGAAAGAAGGCAATGAAAATACCAGAAGATGATGAAACAGGGAGAACAAACGTTGAAAAGGGAAGCATGAGCAGGAAGGAAGGTAGAGAAATAGGGAAAGAGGAAAAAAACGAAAAACAAAATGAAGCCGAGATACAAAAAACAGACGAAGGCGAAATCGTGAAAGAGAAAAATGGAACGGACACACAAGTAGAGGATATGCCAAATGAAGAAAAGACTGACAGACACACAGAAGGAAGAGGCGGTGCACTAGAGAGCGAAGTCGAGGGGACAAGGGAGATCGACGAAGGAAAGAGAGAAACCCGAGGAGGGAGAGGGAGAAGAGTCTTTACACCCCGACAGAAATTCAGCGAGAAAAGATCAAAGCATGAAAAGGGAGACTTCTCTCTGACCGACGATGTCCAAGTCGGAATTATAGACGAAGATGCTTCATCAGGGCCAGCTGCCAAAGAAGAATCAGCTGATAGAAATGTAACACCTACTAAAAACGACGGGCCTTCCGGAAGGAAGCCAGTTGCGGGTGTGAAACACGACGAAGAAAACGGTGGTTCACCTGAAGTCCATGTGGAAGAAGCATGTACTGAATCTGAGGCACAAACCTCCTCCCGAAATGTAATACTTTTTGAAGAGAAACCAGCGGCTGTGAGAGAAGAGGGTTTGGACACTAGAACAGAAATAGAACCCGTTGATAACTTTTCTGAACCAGAGGCAGAGACAAAGAGTGATGCCCAAGAAATGAGCTCCCTCTCGCAGGGCGAACCGGAGTGCGAAACGAAAATAAAGGTCAAAGAAGGGGAAGAAACAAAAACAACTGACAATGAAGAAGGAATGAGGAAACGAGAATCAGACTTTGAAGAAAGCTCAGAAGTCAATATATCTGCCAATGAAGAGGATGAGAAAGAAAATGAAGAAATGACACATATTAAAACTAATACAGAGGAGGAGAGAGAGGTAGATCATATTCAAGCGGAAGACACAAAGGAAATGACAATAGATGAGGATCAACAGAGTGATGAAAATGAATCAAACATGCAAGCTGTAAAAGCAACAATGGAAGTCGAGACTACTGATGAATCAGAAAAGAGGGAATCGTGTACCGTAGAGAAGGAAGACAGAGAGCAACTGAAAATAACAGGAAAAGAAGATGCCAGAGACGTTATACCTGGCAAAGAAATGACAGAGGAAACTGCAGCAGACCCTGTGTTAGCTGACCAGGAAGACTGGGGAGAAAGGTTGGAGACAGCCTCAAGTAGGAAGGAAGAGGACGACCTGGCGCCACTCAAGCTGGCAGAGGGCTCAAGGGACACCTTTGCCGAAGACGACGAAGAGTGTATCGTGATCACTTACCGGCCACCCCAGAGGGCGGTGCTAAAGGGGAGGCCGAGGGAGGGCGCGGGCGAGAGAGGAGAAGCAGACGGCGCTGACCGGAGCCCCAGCGCTTCGCGGCGAACAGACGAACAGGGCGATGACGGGAAAGAAGTTAGTAGTAAAGAAGGGGAAGAGGCAAAGAGAAAGAAAACGCGAAGATCAAAGAGGAAGAAAGTGAAAGAGGGAAGTGATGCAAGTAAGAAGGAGGGTGAAGAGACACATGTGAGCGAGAAAGATAATGTGGGTCTGAAGGGCGAAGAGAAGAAGAAAAAACGGCCGAGACAAAGAAAGAATAAAGCTGAGAAAGAGAAAGTACCGCAAACAGACTTAGAGGAAGCTAGCAAGAATGAAGTTCAAGAAGGAGAAGATCGAGCAACTGATCAGGAATCACAATCCTCAGCACATCCTCCGACTCGACGATGGGTGGAGGAAATGGACGAGGGGGGGCTTGGCGAGTGGGG